TATATATCTCTATTTGGGCGAACTATCTTTGATCACGTGATTTACTTATGACCAATCGTAGAGCAAGATTCTTAGTATGTGGAATATAAAATAATATAATATCATATATTGGACATTACGAGGTCATTTGGGTAAATTTAGGCTCAATGATCACAAACGTGAATATCAAAGCGCCAAAAAGAAATAACTAAATCCCGAGATTGATATGAACTTCTCCAATACATTTGAATTACTTTCATGGGCAATTAATTAACTTTCTACTTTCGCTTCCTTATACCCAACATGGCATGTAAACAGATCCTAAGTAGAACTTAACACTAAGTTGGACTTAAAAAGTATGGACAGCCATTGGAGCCTTAAAATGAAATATATTCAAAGGCAAAAATTGGAGTATTTTAGACTTTTCATCAATTCCACATCAAGAACATGAAATCTCCCATGATAATAGAAAATATGAATGATTTGAATCAACATTTTATGCCTTCTAAAAAAAAATTGCAAAATGTTTTCAAGGATGCTAATGGCTTCCCATAAATTTTAAGTCCAACTTAGAGATAAGTTCAACTTAGGATCTTTGTGAAACACCCCCCAGAAGGCTGTCCTAAAATAGTCACCCAAGTCAAAGTCAAACTTATGATATTTGGATCTATACTATCACCTACATTGAACCACAGGAAGGTCTATTATCAACCAGGGGCGGATCTAGCTTTTTGCTAAAGGGGGGGGGGGGGGGTGACCCAATGACGATGCGAGCCGCGTGGCGGCGTGGCGGTTTTTTGTTGATATTTCGAACCCCCGTAAAGCGTTGGTCACATCCCACCGTGCGTGTTTTTAGTCCGTACGGTTTTTGGGGAGGCCACGGCCGCCACGTTTTCTGAAAACGTAGGGAGGGAGTGGCAAGGGCAGGGAGGGAGTACCGGCAAAGCACGTCACACGCACGGTGTAAGTACGTGGCCCGCACGCCAGCCTGGCCGTGAGCGGTTGCGTGCATCGTACGTTGCGCACGTGGTAAGTGCGTTGTACGTGCTTACAACGTGCTTACAACGTACGGTCTCCGTGCGGTTGCCACGTTATCACGTACGGTGTCCTTACTCACTCGCACGTTGTAAGTGCGTGCACGTGCGATGAACTCGGTGAGTCGGGGTATGTCGGAGCATATAGGACGACATTCCCATTTGCTTTAGAAGTCCCAGCTGCTGCTGCCTCAAGATGCCGCCCATTCTACCGCAGAAACTCCGGGTTCTGATGCTGATGCTGCACCTTCAAGTGGCAGCGCATGAGCACGACGTGGTATTACTTGCCTTGATACGGGAGAGAGAGAGGCAACAGAGACGCCGACGCAGAAGATGGTGGGTTCGCCCATGGATCGAGAGGAGGAGGAGGCTTTTCGGGTAGTACGAAACGTTGTTTCAAGAGCTAGAGCGTGAATCGCGGGGGGACTATGTCGGATGCATCCAAATGGACCCCAATCTCTTCGCCGAGCTCCTGCTCCGAGTGACCCCTCGAATCATCAAGTGCCCAAGGTGTGTGTCTTCATTTCTGCCTTAAAAAATTCTTGGTTTTGCTTTGTATTTGCTTTAAAATGTTGTCTTATTTCTATTGGAAGCTTCCCGTTGCTCATTTAAGAATAAATCTCTGACAAAGGGAGCAAATTTTGCAAATCACAACTTTTCAGTAAAATGGCCATACAATCAAATCGCCTTCATGTAAGTTGATGATTTTGGTGGCAAATAAAACTTGTGTTTTTCTATCAAATACTTTAAACAATAATTGTATTTAGTCATTCATGTATTTGTAATTAAGGTCAGTTTTTGTAGTAATCTTTATGGTCCACCCAAACGCTATTAATACATTTTATGTTTCAGAAGTCGCCGCCCTCTTGAGCCTGACATGAAGCTGGCCATCACCCTTCGCTTCTTGGTGACGGGAACAGCTACAGGTCCCTTGCCTACGACTTCCGGGTGGCACTAGCATATCTACGTTCGTGCCAGAGGTCTGCACCGCCATCTACAAGGAATATAAGGAGAAGATGTTCAACATGCCCTCCACACAGGACGAGTGGAAAGCCGTCGCCCGCCAGTTTGGAACGCGATGAAACTTTCACCACTGTTGTGGGGCAATCGACGGGAAACATATCGCTATCAAGAAGCCCAATAAAAGTGGATCGCTCTATTACAATTATAAGCGCTTCTGTGGTGCTCCTGGCCATCGTGAATGCTTACTATTCCTTCTTGTGGTGCAAGGTGGGGGCCAACGGCTCTTCCTCAGACGCAGGCGTGTTCAACGAGTCCACCCTCCGGGGGCACTGGAGGACAACACCATTGGATTCCCAGCACCGGATCCACTTCCAGGCGACGACCGGGACTTTCCCTACTTCATTGTAGGCGATGATGCTTTTCCCCTACGAAAGTGGCTCTTGAAGCCATACAGTCGCCGTGCCATGACCCACAAAGAGAGAGTGATGAACTATCGGACCTCTCGGGCCCGTCGGGTTGTGGAGAACGGCTTCGGGATATTGGCTCACCGGTGGCGGTGACTACTCATCACCCTGCAGTTGGAGCCTGGCAGGGTGATTTACGTTGTGTTGGGCTGCCTCACCCTTCACATTCGGCTGCGAAAGTGCCGGCCTGGACTATATCACAAGACCTTAATTTGGACCGCGAGGATGAGGATGGCAACGTGGTCCCCGGGGCCTGGAGGGAGGATGTGCAGATGACCTAACCCAACCAGATGGTCGGCCAACGGGCCTCAAGGGAAGGGAAAACCCTGAGAAACTATCTAGCGTACTATTACAGTTCCCACTTGGCCGCCTACCATGGCAAGATCGGGTTGTTTGAACACATGAACTCATGATACTCATGATTTAATTTTATGAAATCTGGAGACATTCTATGAACTCTACAGACACTCATGATTTTAAAGAACTCTGGGGACATTCCATGAACTCATGATTTAATTTTATGTATTTATGTGTGAATAAACATGTAGAAGTCAAACATAATAATGAAATGTTTTTTTTTTGTTCTTATTTAAAATCAACCTTAACTTTAATATGATATACCAGGGGGGTGTTTCATAAAGAATTTATGTCTAGACATAAACCCCAAAGTCTCTCTTAAGTGTCCTACTTATGAGAGACTTTAGTTATGAGAGACTTTTCCGTTTCATAAAGCAAAGTCTACACATAAAAGTCTCTCTTAAGTCAAAAGTCTCTCATAAAGTTACGAGAGACTTTTACCTCTCATAAGTATTCAAAGTCTTCACATATCTTTCACATATTATTTATTACTACTTAAATTTCAAGAAAAAAAATTGAAGGCAGTACACTTGTAATTCGAATGGATGTAACAGATATATTTCAGATATTTATAGCACATTAAGGCAGTAAATATAACTCAACTGAGAATAATTTACATTGGTATTAAAATAAACAATGGTGTATATAAGTAACAAATGTCACAATGAAATATCTTATTTTAATTTAAAATATATGAATGAAAAGAAGAAGAAATAAATATACATTTTTATATTGAAGCAAACATAATAAAAAAAATAAACATTCAATAATGTAAATTCCAACAAGGATTATTGCATCAAAATGTCAGTAAAACAGCAAGTCCACAGGTAAATCAACACAATGTACTAAAGTATTTATGTACTTTGTCAAATATTAAAGTTGTACATCTCATCAGTAAATGCACAGGAAAAACTTTAAAATAATTCCACACAATTTTTGTATTTATTTTAAATTATCTTAGTGTTTATTTTGCTTGATAATGACCTACAGTGTAACTGTCCCTTTTGTAGGCTGAAAATATAATTGTGTGTAAATCAGATTGTAAACAAGAGGTAATAGCATCTAAAAACTGCTCTGAAAGTATGGTGCAAATCTTATGGTTTGAAGAGCAATACCAACTAAAATCGCCTCTTAAAAGTTTAGAATTGATACTAGCCTCAAGGTGGAGTTATATCTACAAGTGGAGAAGGAAAAATAACAACTACAAAATAGTCTGATATTTCAGACCCTTGTACTGGACAGTCGTTTTGTGCCGAGTACAGACTGAATCATTTTAATGCTGGCCATTACAAGAAGCAGGATATTGATGTGTACAAATGCTAATGTGTCCTTCACAGCTCATTTTAATATAAAGTTAACACGTAGTTAATGGCTACCAACTAAAAACTCCTCTTCAAGGCAGCAGCTCTCATTTGCATTCCTTTCATCAAATTCCATGGAGTGTATCGTGTATTCTCATGCCAAAGAGCTTTACCCATGCAATATTATATTTTGGGGAGGGTGTGCAAATGAGGGCTACCAACTTTAAAGGTGCTGTGTCTCTTTAGCAGACAGAAAATACAAAGTGGTGTAACTCATGATCTATAGAATTTGTTTTTGCCTGCAACAGGGAAACCATTACAGGTAGTGGGCCTCATTTTTAAACACCCTTTCCCCAATTAGATGATAATCCAAGGCTACCTCTTTGGCATTAGAAAAACCCTGTTCAAATATTAAGAGCAAAGTGACCACAAAAAAAAGAAATCTCCTCGCTTCTCATTTACAATCTACTTATCTTTGGCTCAAAAATTTCATCAAGTTTACTCTTATGGCAAAGAAATTCTATCAAGGAATTTCCCTCAAAATTGGAAAGGCATTGCACTCAAATTGTATACTGAGGTTAAAGCGGATGTCATTAAAACTCATTACTGCAAAATCATTTTGAAACGATTGTGTATGAAGACGAATATTGCCGAGGGAATTAAAATCATTTTTTAAATGTAATCAACATTCAATTTTTGTATTGGTAAAACAGGAGGCTTGTCGAAGTGAAGGAAGAGCCAAATTTGATCTTGCGTCATAGAAAACATTTGTTTTCAAAATCCTTTACAAATAATAAGAACAATGAAAAACAATTTAAAAATACAAATGCTCCTGGAGCACATGCAGGATATCCTGCAAGCTCAAATTCCTCGGCTGTACAAATACGCTTCACAACTTGTGCAGCGTCTCCCCCCCCCCCCCCCTCCTCCTTCTCTTCTAGATTCTCTACTGCCTCTCCTTCATCCAAGGCCCCTTCCTCTTCCTCTACACCTCCAATGACGTCCTCCAGCATGCTGGTAGCAGCATTATCCTCCTCAATGTCCTTTAAATTAAAAGAGATTTAAAAAAAAAAAGAGTTATCATCTAACAAACTTTGTCGAGATAAAATCAACTATGTAAAAAAATATGTATAGATTGGGTATGTAAAACAAATTCATTTATGCAGATCAATATCTGAAAGATTCGTAACTAGCAACTACACGTTAGCTTGGCTTGGGTGTGAGCGGGAATCTACCACTTCTGCCCTAAATTTGTCAGGAACTGCATCCATCCTTTTGTAGGTCATGCTATAATGACCGGCACTAAATCTCACAGTAATTACAAAAACAGGTACAGGAACAAGATGCAAAATTGTTGTTCCTATATGTCCCTATAAATATTATGGTTCTTCATGGCAAAACTGAGTTTAAACGGATTTGATTTGACACGATGAACTTATGCTATGTTGACATTGATTCATGTTTACTCAAATATAAAAATGTGATGGACATCTCAGCTGCCTACAATAATATGTGACACAGGAAAGTAAACAGAGATAAAAACAGTTTTTTTTTTAAATCATCAGAACTTTTAAGATTTAGTCCCACAATTATACTGATTCATAACCATGTTATGGATTATTTTAATAAAATTACATTAAAAAACTGAAAAATACTAAAGACTAAACCCAAACATTTCAGTTTTTCCCATAACTTTTTAAGTATTCTGCTTGCGTTTCCTTTGTATGGCTATGTATGTATGTATGATCTACTCATATCACAAATGTCACAATGACCTCCCAGAATTCCCAGCTTCTTAAACTAACTAGAAAACTGGCCATGAATATTTTTTAATCAGGTATGACTTCAAAATTGAATATGTATGCTTACAAATCCTGCCTCTGTGAGCTCTAGATGCCGTCAACAAGTTACAACCTCTGTATCCAGCATCTCGAGGACTAGGGAGTCAATGAAAGACATTGGTGTTGCTGGTCTACCTCCTTCAGATATATATGGGGGAAATCATAACATTTACAAAATACATATACCCACAAATTGATAGCTTGGTTGAATTCTGTTTTTTGCTGTTTTGCTTATACACAGGTGCTTAGAATGAAATTAAAGGGCACAACACGAGTTTAAAACCAATGATGTTTGAACAAATAGATGATCTGACAACCAGAAAACATAATGCTGCACAAGTTTCAGATCGGAGGCATAAAGATAAAGATGCTTTTTGGCACTGCTGGAATATAGGAGGAAGTTCTCTTCCTATCCCTGAAATAAACTTGATTAAGATGCCTTTAGCGATCTGACATTATCATGGTTACAAGATAGTTTGGCATATTTAAATTGACCTGTGACTTTTGACCCCTTACTGACTCCCAAGAAATAGTAATCAGGTAATCTTTACATGGTCATAAATACACATTCCATGTTCTTTGCAGGAAATCGCTACTTGGCCCATTCAACTGCACTTTATAAATTATTGACTTTTGGTTTCATGCTAATTACTATTCATCTCAAAACATAATATCGCTAATGGATTGTAACTTTATAATACGACAAGATTAATTGCAACAAAATTACCTGTTAACTTGAGGCTCGTACTCTCGGAGCCTTTGATTCAATCTTCTGCCATTTGCGCTTACACTCTTCTCCAGTCCTTTCGGAGCCCTCAATGTCGATGCTTCCTACTCACCGGCATGGGCATCCCCGTTTCTTTTCTCCACCTAGATTTTGTTTTATTTGAAAGAAAAAGAAAAGGATATAAATATTTTTAAAATAATTGAAAATCATTTTTTAAATTTAGACCTATGGTCTTTCTATCTACTTGGACCGAGTCGAAGTGACATAAAATTGAAACTGTGACAGAGATAAAATGATCAAAGTTGTGGGACCATATGTGTTTTTAATCAAAATAGACATCCATGTTGAAAATCTTGCAGCCGTATTTTAAACTCTCACTGCGCATGACGTCATCTAAATCTCATCCCTCAAAATGATAATGAACGAAAAGCTGTGCACGAGCTACAAGTTCGTAATGACGTTATCAGTTTTTCCTTCATAATCATTTTGCCTTGCGCGTAGACTAGAAGGGATGAGATTTAGACGACGTCATGCACAGTGAGAGTTTAAAATACGGCTGCAAGATTTTCAACATGGATGTCGATTTTGACCCATACCGGTAATTTCGTGAAAAGGGACCGTTAAACGGATTATACAGTCAAGTTGGTATTGTAAGTGGAGCCGATGTCGTTTAGCCTAGCTAGGCTTAATATTGGAGTATAAATGCATCCGATAAAATCAAGTAGGCCTAGACCCTATTTGGGCATAAGTTTGGTAGTCAGATCCGTGCCACCGAGTTTGCAGAGCTAATCTGCCCTAGACCCTATGCCATTTTATGGTTGGCTTCTGTCTCTAAATTAGAGAGGAGCCGACCCTACCCAAATCAGAGGAACGAGTAACAAACGAAAGAGCTCAAACATATCTAACCTAGAATAATTATAATGGTCAATATGCTTGACTAGTCTAGTTATTAAAGCTCAACTCAACCTGCTCAGCTCAGGCGCATGTTCCAATTGCTCTAGCTCTTCTTCTTCCAAGAAAAGTGCTGCTTCAAGGCCTTGACAAACCAATAAAGCTATCAAAAATACTGTCAAGGCCTTGCATGAGAGATTTATGTGCCGAGGATTAGGATAATGATTCTGTTAATAGACGGTACGATGTCGAGGGGGAATTTAGTGTAGACCCTACTGCCGACTTTTTAGCCTTAAGGCCACACACCAAAAGACACACTTGGGACCGAGCAAATTTTGCAGACGATATCGGCCGGCAAAAATAATGAGGTCAAAACATGATTTAATGATACAGTTTGCTATAATTCTCTAAAAAATGTACATGATAAATCATTACTAGTATAACAGGGACTCAAATACTGGTCATTTACACTTTACACAGAAATACAGACGAAATTATATAACATTTTAAAGTCCACTTACCCAAAAGATTGCACTGTCTTGCAGCGGCGGGAAGTGAAGTTTTATTCGCTGTTGACGTATGCAAACGATATGCAAATTTTTTATTTACATAAAGTCACTCTTACGCTAGGAGAGTCTTCGAAGATCTTTATGAAACGGAAAATAAATTTTCACGGGAGTCTCTGGTAGCTTAAGAGAGACTTTCCATGATTTACACTAAGAGAGACTTTTAAGAGAGACTCTTTATGAAACACCCCCCTGAATGGTTCCGGTCTCACCTCTTACTTTCAACCCCCCCCCCCCCGTAATTTTTAAAAAATGGTTATAATAAACTTTTATACAGTTTGCAAAATTAATGATTTTTATTATATATATATATATATATGTATATTTTTTTATTTTTTTTTTGGGGGGGGAGGGGGGGCAGGTTTTTGTTATCATTTTGCCACATGCACCATGTAATCTTGAGCTCTGACATTTGTTGAAAGTACAAAACAAGGAGGACTTTTAAGGCAAACCAGTTCTTTATTATACTCAATAATACAACTAATAAGTAATAAGTAATAATAGCATAAGAACAAGAACATTCCAACATGAGCAACGAAAAAATAATTTAACACAGTAGTCCATAAACGTTTCTGTTGGGCCTCTCTGGCCTTCTTATCCGGTGCCTTTTGAGCTGCAGATGCAGCTGACCCCTTATTCTGTGTCTTCTTCGGCGCCATCTTGGAGACGAAATGTTGGCACTCTTCCGTCGGCTCGGCTTTTGTATACTGCATAAATCAGTGCGCACAACGTGCGTTGTAAGTGCGGAGCACGTGCTTACTCGGTACGGTCCACGTGAGTTCTGCGTGCTCATTAGACAGTTGAACTGGGGAAGTGGCGAGTAAGCACGGACCACGCACTTATCACGTGCGCAGCACGCACGTGCTAAGTGCGCCTTCCGTAGAGCAAGTGATCGTGGGAAACAAATTTAAAAACGCACGGAGTCGGTGCGTTGTGCGCTCGTTGGCAGTACCGGGCACGCACGTCACGCGCACTGGGGGTAAATCGGTAGCCCGAACGCAGCGAAAGTTCCTCATGCACTAAAAGCGCTACGGTGTGTCTGCGTGTTCCCAAATCCGTACAGAGGCGGTACTCACCACGTACCGATACCCAAATTTTGCCCACGTTTTTGCACGTAGACAGCACGCACTTACAAGTACGCCGGGATGTGACCACCGCATAAGTGATGTTTTCCTGGCATCTACTCACAAAATGCCGTTGTGCACATCACATTTTAACTTGACAGCCCAAGGGGGGGGGGGGGGTATCCCCCCGTAGATCTGCCCCTGTCACCCTAACCGTGAGAACCGTTGGGCGTAGCTCCCAGAGCGCGCCCCCACCCCAACCCCAAAAGCCCTGACTATGCAGGCGCGGATCCAGGATTTTCCAATAGGGGAAGGGGGGGGGGGGCGGAAATTTGAAAATTGCGCAGACCGTTTTTTCAACTCAACGTACCAATACTGACAAGGTCATATTAGAAGCACCATACCGGTACAATTTTGACATTTTCATCGGGGTGGGGGGCTATATAACCTCTTGCCCGAAAAAAGTAATTTTCTGGTTTCACAATTCGGCTAGTGAGCGAAACGAGCGAGCAAAAATTTGAGCATAATATGTATTTGGTGAAAGTGTTATTTATCACCAAAATAAACGAGAAAAGATATCAAAAATTCATCTTTGGGCAGCTCGCTGTTCCCCCCCCCCCCCCCCCCCATTACGCGCGAAGCGCAGAAGCTTTGATGTTTCATGAAATTATTAGAGAAAGAAGAGGATTCGTTGTACCCGCATTCTCAACACTTAATCCTTGTCTGAATTCAGTTCCTTCCCCCCCCCCCTCCGCGCGAAGCTCGGAAGCTTTGACCTGTTATTAATTATTAGAGAAAGAAGACGATTTGTTGTACCATTCTCGACTCGTATTCCTTGTCTGAATTCAATTTTACCCCTCCCGCGTGAAGTTTTGACCTTTCGTAGTTTAATTAAATAATTAGAGAAAGAAGATGATTCGTTGTTCCATTCTCGACTCTTAATCCTTGTCTGAATTCAGTTCCCCCCCCCCCCCCCCTCCCGCGCGAAGCGCGGAAGCTTTGACGTTTCATTAAATTATTAGAGAAAGAAGACGATTTGTTGTACCATTCTCGACTCTTAATCCTTGTCTGAATTGTGAGCACATTTTTTTTTTTTGGTCCTCGGAAATTTAAAAATTTGCACCCCCCCCCCCCTTGAGCGCCACGGGGGGGGGGGGGGGGCCCAACCCCCCAAAAGGTAAAAATTACGTGTTTTTTCATGATTTTTTCTCAAGGCCCCCCCCCCCCTGGATCCGCCACTGCCCCACCCACTCAGTGTCATCTAGGATACGCGCATGAATGTTCCCTTTCTTTGAAAGCACCCCTCTATCTCCTGTGTGTAAAGTCAGTACGGGCCGGATTTTTGTGTATTACGGGCCAGACAATGTTGGGTGAAAAGTAACCCTTTATCGGAGATTTCGGGAACACAAATTCGGTCCCTCCGACCCCGGAGTGGGAGGGGGGGGGGGGGGGGAGGGGGAGGGGACTTTCTTCTTTTTCTTTTCTCCTTTTTTTTCTCTCTCTCTCTCTCTGTTTCTTTTCTCTTCTTTCTTTTCTCTTCTTTTTTCTTTTCCCTTCTCCTTTTTTCTTCTCTTCTCCTTTTTTTCTTCTCTTCTCCTTTTTTCCCTCTTCTTTTCTTCCTCTTTCCCCCCTTTTTTTGCGCCGCCAATATATAGGGGGGGCCGTTTCGCCCCCCCCCCCCCCGCTGGATCCGCCACTGCTATGTTCACACCATTTTAGCCCGTTCAGCATGCATTGTCAAAATGAGTAGTAGTAGGACAAGGCTACATTGACAAATACGAAAAAACCTGTAAGATACATTGAAAATTACCAAAGGGATTTAAGCGTGCATACAAATTGGAATCATACTTATCCTAAGCCTATGGAGCAAATTTGGCTACAAAGAAGAAATAGGCCTACATTGATAGGGTTGCTGATTAAAAACTCAATGAAATGAAGCTAATTAGACACATGTTAGGGTTCCCATTGGGATCCTTATCTCACTCCACAAAGGCCCCTACTAATTTTTTGAACAATTTTTGTGTGTACTTAGTTCTTCTTTCTTCTCCCTTTCCCTATCTTTACCTCATACTTTATTTCTCATCCACATTTTTTGTCATTTGTTCTCTCTTCCTCTTCTAGTTTTGTTCGATTCCTTCCCTCTCTGTCTTTCGCTCTCTCTCTCTCTGCATATCTTATCTTTATATATATATATATATATATATATATATATATATATATATATATATAGTTAATTAAATTATTCTTACCCTTACCAAGTTTGGTAATTTTTTAAGTTTGTGAAAGATTATTTTGTCTTGGTTTAAGTTTCTAAGGAATATGACATACCCTCAGTATTTTGTATATATTTTTGTTGTTGCACTTTTTCCAATTTTGAGGGGGGGGGGGGGTGATCCCCCCTAAAAAATTGAGGGGAGGATGTGCCCCCCTCCTCGGGATCGCCGCCCCTGGACATACTCAATCTTACTTATAAAAGTATTCAACTAAGACCTTAATTCAACCAGTCCGCCTTTCATTTTTGAGTTACGAAAAAACCCACCAAAAACATCAAATTTACAAGGAGTATGAATACTTCAGTTGTTGACTGTACAGGGGCGTACGCAGGATTTTTTTAAGGGGGGGGGGGGTTAAACAAAACAAAGGGGGGTTTTAGGGGGGTTTTCTTAAAAATACACGCATAAAAAATGCCAAGGGGGGGTTTAACCCCCAAAACACCCCCCCCCTCCCCCCCCCCCTGCGTACGCGCCTGTGACTGTATGTATCTCTTTGCTCCTCCCCCTCATTATACACACATTCTCAATCTCTCTATCACTCCATCTGTCTCAATCAATGTCTGTTTCTATTTCTTGCATGAGCACTGTCATACTCAATATAATATATCAGGAAATGAAAACCTGGACATTAAATCCTGAATAATTACGTATTTTAAAATAGATTCATAATCTTTCACAACTCATCTCGAATTTCTTACACAGCACATTTACGACATGTTGGCCTACCAAAGTTTGGCGCTGCCCCAAATATCCGACATTGACGCATATTATATTGGATAAATACATGTACATGTGTCTGAACTGATAAAGATAAATAAATCTTATCATATTTATCAAAGATGATCAAAATAGAATATCATATATTTTGAACATGATTTGGGCCATCCATCCACTCGAGTATTCAGCTACAATTAAACAAAAATGTATTGTCTTCAAACACTGGTGCACTTTGTATAATAATTTAATATATTCCATGTTATGTTAAAGGACAATTCAACCTTTATGATCAGTTCATTTTTGAGAAAGCAGAACAAATGAAATAATGAAAAGTGTGAAAGAAATAATATAATAATAATAATAATAATAATAATAATAATAAGAGAAGGAGGAGATTTGTCCACCACTTCATCTACATGTACATCACAGCGGCATTTCTGATATAGCCAATTTCAAACTTTCCAAATGAATAGTGACTACAGCTAAAAAATATTCTTAGATTTATTATTGTTTGTCCGATTTCATTCAGATTTTCACTAATCTGCTTCATAGATTTGTCTGCTTTCTTTTAGAACAACATGCCAATTGGTTGGATTTCCCTTTAAGGTCCAATCTAGGATGAGAAAAAAAATCTTGCAAAGACATTAACGACCTGCAATAAATAAAAAAAAAAGATACATATCTCCTCACTCTTATAGACAATGCTAGCACATGTTTTATGAAAGGCAGAGGTAAATTGAGGTAATAGGTTTCATAAAGCTCTCTTTTTAAATACAATATGTTAAAAGAAGAAAATCCTTTATAATAACAATAAAACAATCTCTCACTACAAACCAACTTCATAATAGTCACAACCAAGCTTAATGCATCAGCTCTGAATGTAAAACACACTTCTTCATGCTATTCCCTGATGAAAAAAGGTTCTATACAGGGTAAGCCTATAATTTGTAAAACAGTAAATTACAGATTGTTTAAATTCTCCTGTTTAGATTTTCAAAGGGGTATTGTACAAGAGAAACTACGAAATGTAATAAATTATAAATCAATCATGAACTTTACCATGCTAGTGTTGAATAAAAAACCAATCACTCTGGATTAAAGGTTACAGATCAGCTTCACTTAAAGATAAACTTGAGTTCTGGTAATGCGATTGCATTGTGAAAGAAAAGGTGTGGAATGCATCAGAAAAGTTGATCATATAGCATGTAAGTAATGGTGTGTAATGCAAGGTTCTTGAGTCATCAAAATCATCATAAATTTGGCAGAGTCTTGGTAAAGTAACAATCACTTACACAGAAAGATGTATATGGGACAACACACATTGTGTCGGGGCTAGTACTACCCTGATTTCCTGATCTTTCTATGCTCATTACTCAGCCAGTATACATTTTCTTCCAAAATGGTTTGGCACATGACATTTATTTGTAATCTTGAACATTCAGTGTAAGTTTCGTTAGATTCTGTGAGAATTCATTTTCTTTTTTTACCAGAACTCAAGTTTATCTTTAATTTGCCTGTACAGGAAGATTGTATCTTTCTTTGAGAAGACGTTATGCTGGATGGTCATGCTTCAGTTGAAAGCAATTAGTATTATCTCATGGTATTTGGCCCGGCCACCCCCCCCCCCCCCCCACTCTGAGAACGGACGGACCCCATGCGTGTTACCAAAATGTCCTTTTCGTAACAAAAGAAAAAGGTCGACCCGTATTGACTTTACACACCAGACTTTTGCTGAAAAGGGGGGGGGGGGTCGCTTGGAACATGCATATGCGTACCCTAAATAACACTGAGTGGGGGGCCGGGTATTTGGTCTCATAATTATATAAATTACTATACTAGATAAAAATTTATGTATGTATAATTGACTAGATAATACTGAAGTCATCATTATTCCTTTAATTTATCTTATTATCATTTTAATATTTAAAATTCACGAATGTCCTAGATGTTTAATGTGAGTTCCATGTGCAGCAAGGTCTCCTTTTTCATTAAAGATGCGGGCAGTAGTGTATGCTACTGATCTTCCTTTCCTCATAACTTCTCCTTCTAAAGTGACTTTGTCCCCAACCTTCAGAGCTTTCATGTAACTGCAAATGGAAAAAAAGATGATAACAAAGGAGAATAATGCAACATCAGAACTTTGTAGTTTCCTTCAAAAGTAATCGTTGCTATGTTATTACTCTTATTACGAACCCTGCCTCTGGACAAATCTCCTATCCTAAATGTGGTATGCATCTTTATCACATCACAAAATATACAGACTTTCATTACAATATGAAGAAAAACAAACACTAGCTATTAAAATTAAATTAGACTTCAATAATTTAATAAAAAGTGCTGAACATTTAAAGTTGTCTCCACATGAGACAGTAACAGTCTGACAGACAAAGGGACAGTCCTGTAAATTGGATAGGATTACATGTATAACAAAATACCTCTTATCTATTTCACAGAAAATTCTGTACTTACTAAGGCTCTCCAGTTATTTGGGTAAAAAATGCCTCGACCAGCATTATCCGATTATGTGGAGAATACGGTTATTGTTTAAAAGCCGTCTGTACTAGTTTGGCTAGGAGGGATTAGACCACCCAGGGTGATCACTGACAGGTGGCTATCTCATCAACTCAGGTCTCAATTGACATAAGAAAAAGAGGATCATCATCATGGGGGCCAATGGTCACCGATTACTTGTTTTTTATATAGAGGGAGCGAGTAGCTCAAGTAGTACAGTGGGCCTTTAAAGGACATGATTATGAACAAAGAAGGCAGCTTACTTTACACTGAGATTAAGACTGACACCAGGGCGGGAATCTTCTTCATCTACTATGAGGGCTAGAGATGTCATGAAATCAACAGCTGTGGCTGTGAATCCTCCGTGTAGAGTCCCAAAGTGATTGCAGTGCTCAATTTTCACTACATATTCTGCCGTTACTTTGTTTTGAGTTGCAGCAGCAAGTTTTAACTAGGAACAAAAAAGGAGATTAATCATTAATATTACACCAACAAAAAATAGAAAAAAACTTTCCAGCCCCCCCCCCTTCTCAAAGCTCAACCTGATTGCCTAACAAAATAGATAACAACATCAAACTACTTCCATCATAATGCTCTAATTTCCTTAAACATTCATTGAGGTTAATAATTTTATGCTCAGCCTCTCATCCACACTCCCCCTCCCCCCTCAAAAAAGAAGAAATAATACTGATATAGCAAATAAATGAAAAAAACAGAGCCTACCCGACACTAATAAAATATGAAATCAATACTATCGGAGGGGCCAACACTTAGCCTTAGTCACAATTCCAATTGATTTTATAAAAAGTAATTTAAGGAAAACTGCAATTATTCAAATGAATTAGGAATTTAAAAAATGAAAATATCATCAGAAAATAAGAGATTTACAATACTTCAGAATTTTTGAAGATTATACCATAGAAATACTTGTAAAATGAAATTGTGAGTACTTTATTTCATGACCAGTGAATCAGTTTTGTTTTAGAGATGGATACTCCCGGATATTTTCATTTGATAGTTTATTAAAATACATCCTTATATTATTCTTAGGAAAAATAAGACGCTTTGAAACTTTTGTCTGATGTTTCAGGCTTCAACAAAATATTAAAATGACAAAACTTCAACATTCCAAACGCATGTTTTAAAATATTGAGATAGAATTTATCTCACAATTAACATGGGAATGAACACTAGAGAATATACTTGTGACTCTGACTGTGGCTTGCCTGCCATGGCAAACTACCTATTATTACTAACCATACCTTCAAGGATGTTACAATGTGGAAATAAACATGTATAATCAGTTTAGTTAAAGCTTATCTGCCGTAGTTTACAGGAGGGATTAGACCGCTCTGCAAGGTCACTGGACAGGTGGTTATCTCATCAACTCAGCTCTCAGTTAACATAAGAAAAAGATGATCATGGGGGACCAATGGTCACCGATTAGGCATTGTTTGTTATATAGAGGGCGCAAGTAGCTACCAGTAGTGCAGTGGGCCTTTAAGTGGAAACAGCCTTATACATATAAGCGGTGTGGAATCAGTCAGAAAAAATTGATAATGTAGCTAATAAATATTGGTGTGTACTGCAAGGTTCTGGAGTCATCGAAATGAAACAGAATCTTGCCCAGTCTTGGTAAAAGTAACAAGCACTTTACACAGAAAGATGTATACTACACAAACATGTGGCACAAAATGAGGCCCACATTTTTAAGCTGTTACAATACATATTATATTTAGAATATGGAGGCATTTAAAGAGCCATGCTTTTCAGGGAACATTTTTTCTATGATGTTCTTTTTGCATATATCAAATAACAATGAAAATGCTCACAATTACTTTGTACCTATCCCCAGAAGTTGAAGAACTCAACCTTCTCTTTACCTTTACCTTTACCCGAGATTCTGGAAGAATGCTGTGTTCTCAGCAGTCGGGCGCGGGCTTCCAGTTCAATTTCATTTTCTAAAGATTTTAATCTTTAGACTTTGAATTTACTGTTTTAAAATTGATAATAATCGTTACATTGAAGGTTTTCGAGCAAAGAATTCAATCTAACTCTCTTTATGCGACGATACAAATTAAATCAATTTTCAAAATTGATGCACCTTTGCTTTAAAAACCTTTAAATCACAAATTCATAAGGCCATGCATACATATGCACATCCCGCTGCTATTCGCTCAAGGTTTATAAGATATTGGGGCGAGGAGAAAGCTCGCAATTTTTTGATTGATCCGATACCAAAATCATATTTCAGTCAAATGTCAAAGCCTCTATTTGTTACAATTTTTTCAGCATCCTTAAAAGGTAAAGTATAGTCCATGGGCCAGACCAGATATTGGTACCACCAGAGGTGGCAAAACCTTTGTACTTTTTTTTTGTTTGTTGGGCATATATACTTGCAAAAAGTGATGATAGCATTTCCGAATGTACAGCTTAGTCATATAATCAGCAGTTTCCATGGCAACACTAGACTAAAACCGGTATTATTCAAAGAAATAGTTAAAGTCATTTAAAAATTATAAAAACACTTTTGGATGCGTAAAAATATACAGTTTAGAATATCTCACCATAAAGAAAAAGCAATGAAATGCAATTTACATTACCATTTATAACGGTTGCCATGGTAACGACCCCAGAATGGCCTAAAATCAAGGATTTTGGAGTAATTTCAGTAATATATTACACAATATACTCATTCAAGACAAGTTAAAGTCCCCTTTCCAAAATAATGACACAACTATTATGACTAATACATCATATAAGCCAAGAATATGCTATATAGTACATTCCCATTGTTACCATGGCAACATAAATTAGAGTTAACAAGATGCCCTGTATGGTACTATATGCCATATTCTGGCTATATTTTGGCATTGGAGAGCTGTTGAAAGTTTATTTTGGTGTCTATACCCAGGTTTTCAGGCCCACAGAATAAAAGTTTAGAATACCTCACCATAAAGAAAAGTAATGAAAAACAAATTACATTACCATTTATAACGGTTGCCATAGTAACGACCCCAGAATGGCCTAAAATCAAGGATTTTGGCGTATTTTCACTAACATATAAGACAATATGCCCTTTCAAGACAAGTTAAAGTCCCCTTTCCAATTTAATGACACAACTTTATGACTAATACATCATATAAGCCAAGAATATGCTATTTAGTACATTCCCATTGTTACCATGGCAACATGAATTAGAGTTAACAAGATGCCCTGTACGGTACTATATGCCATATTTTGGCTATATCTTGGGATTGGAGAGGTGTTGAAAGTTCATTTTGTTGTCTATACCCAGGTTTTCAGGCCCACAGAATAAAAGTTTAGAATACCTCACCATAAAGAAAAGTAATGAAAAACAAATTACATTACCATTTATAACGGTTGCCATAGTAACGACCCCAGAATAGCCTAAAATCAAGGATTTTGGAGTAATTTCAGTAACATATTAGACAATATGCCCTTTCAATACAAGTTAAATTCCCCTTTCCAATTTAATGTAAAACTATATGACTAATACATCATATAAGCCAAGAATATGCTATTTAGTACATTCCCATTGTTACCATAGCAACATGAATTAGAGTTAACAAGATGCCCTGTACGGTACTATATGCCATATTTTGGCTATATCTTGGGATTGGAGAGGTGTTGAAAGTTCATTTTGGTGTCTATACCCAGGTTTTCAGGCACAGGGAACACAGCTAAAGCATTATTTTGGACAATTACATAGGACATTACTGCTATTTTTCATACATTTGCATAAAAGTATTCTGCCTCTGCATATTACAAGCTTTTTCTTAGGGTTTAGAAAGATATAACATTGTCATGACTACATTAGATGCTAGAAAACTTCATTTGATTGTATGCAATGTTGGAACCAGCACAGATTCATCACATTAATGACCATTTGTTTGTTATTGTATAAAAAGTCCATGGGATGTGTATCTCTTGGCATATGCACACTGTGGTCACCCATTGAGAAGATGTTTCAAGATGCTGGACTGAGGGACCTATGTGTAGAGTCAGGTGTCACTGATATTGGCTCTGTAGCTGGAGTGATTGAATGCTGCAAGTACAACCGTGCAGTAAAGTTGTTGTACGAGGCATAATTTATGCGACAGGCGTGGAAAGGCTTCCTACCCTGTTTAGAAACTAACCACACTGATGACCAGGTTCACCTGGAAGAAAGCCTTAGAGTCGTGAGCAGCCTATGTGAAGATGTTTCTCAAGCTGCTGGCTGTGAGATTTTTGAGAACCAGTCCTTTGAGCCCATCTTCAAGCTATTTGATGTCTACCTTGATTACCTGATACAGGAGAATGGGACCCTCTCGGCCTTCTGGATGTATGTGGACATCGTCGAGGTTATGCTAGGTCTGGTTCGGGCATCTAGAGAGGGTGTCTGCATGGGTGCTGCACCTCGCTTTCATTCGTGCAATGATTCCCTGGTGCTTCGCCGACGACAAACTGAACTAAGCACGCTTTCTTCTCTACTATAGTTATTATGTACAAATGTCCCGGTTGGCCAATTGATCACCCAGATGTGCATGAACAATTCATGCAGGGCCAGAGATTTTCTGTACAACTTGGTAGGACCTCTTTGGCAGAATCCCAGTCGACCAGAAAATTGAAGAAACCATCAACAAGGACACACAGACCACTGGGTTGGGGGGGGGGGACAAAAGGTTCAGCATAAAACCAGGAGCTGACAGTAGGAACTACCTGACATCTGAGTACAGAAGGTCAGAAGCTCATATTATTTTGAGGGAGTTGAGAGAAAATTGTGTCACCAGAAGATCTAACTCCGAAGCGTTCAGCTTGTATCATTGATGTAATGAGCCTTGTCCATAGACTCAAAGGGGGTGCTGCACTGCTGCACATCAAGCAGATGCTGCACTGACGCTAGCTGTGCACGAAGGCACTGATAGTGCCAGGACTGATGTCGTGTTCGATGTCTACAGGGATGAGTCCATCAAGAATGCTGAGAAATACAACAGAGGTTCCACCGCTGAAACACAGTGGAAGAACATTGCACCTTGTCACAACATTTTGCAGTGGAAAAAAATTCCGAAGAAACCCTGAAAACAAAAATAAGCCTAGATTAAATTTTTGGTCGATCAGTGGCAGCAGCCTGCAAAGAGGGAGAAGCTTCATGATAAGTCACTTTATGTGGCAAGTGGAGAAGCACTATGAAGAAATCATAACTCTGAAGACAACACAAGAGGAAGCTGACACACGAATGTTTCTTCATGCATGGCATGCTGCGGAGGATGGATACAGATCCATATAGTAACCACAGCCGAAGACACAGATGTGCTGGTAATCTGTGTCTGTATTATTGTGCTGTCCCATGGTGTTACATTTTTCCACTGTGCCCTTATCGTTTCCATTCCGTCTGCATGTGGTCCCTTACCACTTACAGCGTGCTCGTGCCAGCTAGTGTCACCGTGTTGGCCTTTCCCTCGCCGGGTCTCACCAGAGCCCCACCGGGTGGGTACCTGCTGCTTACCACCCGGAACGCAACCATAAAAGAGCCATTCACTGAACATTCGCTTGGCCTTGAAGACGTCACACACGGTATATAAAAGCTGGACACTCACCCTAGCTACCGGTCACACTTCATTTCTCAAGTTCACGGATGTACGTCCTCATTGTTATTCTCAACAATTAATCATAAATCTTCATAATTCTTCATAATGCCTACACATGGAAGCAGAGGCGGCAGAGCGACTAACAAATTAGAGGGGGGGGCAACAAAAAGGGCACCTACAAAGGGGCACTTTAATAAAGTAGTAGGTGCACTTGTCAAAGTAAAAGGGGCAATTTTCCTATGTACAAAGGGGCACTTCTGGGGTACTTCGAAACTGGGGAGGGGGCTGTGCACACCAGCCCCCCCCCCCCCCCACACACCGGAGCGGCGCCTCTACATGGAGGGAAAGCAGGGGGAGGGGTCAAGCTATAGGAAGCTCGATCCGCAGGAAACAACAGAGGAAGCATTTTTTATATAGTAAAATATGGAGTCACTGTGTCTGGCACGGTTTCTGAACGGGAACAATGTAAAACACGGCAACAGCTAGGCCGGTATGGAGACGTTACGAGGACAGTGGAATGGTAAGATGACGTTATCAGGTCGTTAAGAGAGCGGTTGACCGTTAATGATCGGTTGGGGGCCGGTATGAGGCGGTGGGTCAATGATGAGCGAACGGTGAGAGCCCGGAGAAAACCCGTAACGA